GTGGCTAGTGTCTAGTTTAGCAAGGCATCAAAAGTTTCAACCTTTTCAAGGAGTGTAACCTTTTCTTTTGGTCTGAAATTAGACACTGTGGGTGTGGGTGGCCTTGTATGGGAGATCTGTTGGAAGCTTGTCTGTCGGTATCAAAAGGAAATTGAAATTCCATTCCTTCAGAATAATAAAACCTCTAAAAAAACCTTTGGAAAAAACTTTTGTCTCATCTGTATTGAAGTTTGGACTCAGAAATGCTCAAAGAAATGCTCTTTCAGGTCTCAGTAACCTACTTGTTCTCTGAAATATTGCTGTTAGAGTTTGAAACCGCATTATGTTTGACACTTATTTCAAAGCAAGAAGTGTTATGAATGAGATGAAAGGGTGAAAAAGGACTCTGATGAAAACAGAAGCAGAGGACGATGAGCCAAACCCGGGGCTGCTCGTTGGGAACGCCACCAGGATGACTCTGGGGAGCAGAATCTGGCTGCCCAGTCAGGCTTTCAGCCACTTCGGACCCCAGGCTTGCAGCATCTGCCATTTTGACATTGTCATACTGAAGAACGTTTTTCCTACCTGGTTCTGCCAAGAGATTTATTTTGTGCTGGGTTTAAAGAAACTGATAAAAGCCTGTGTAAGGATCACTCCTGGGTCTTTGGAGGATACAGTATGTGTTCTTTTGAAACTAATTTCAAGGCTAAGGAAGGAGCCTTAAACTGTAGTTTAATCAGAGAGAAACAGGTTATTTTCTGTACCTTTGGGCATTTTAAAAATGATAACTTTGTGTTTACAGAAGGAGGGAATTTTAAAAGAGTAGAGAAGATTTTTTGTTAGATCTGAGACCCCAGCAATACTTCAATATCAGCATCAGAAGCTGGGAATTCATTATGTTTTGCTCTTATTTAAAAGGATTTTCACCTGGTTACCTGGGTGTTTTGTTGGAAATGGTAGAGGAGTAAGCTGAATGATTATAAGAACAAATAGAAGTTGTCCCTACAGAATATCTGTTATTTTCAGATGTTGCTATGCTTTTCGAACATTCGAGTCTGGGGGTCGTTACAGCAGTATTGTGCTGGGTACGTAGTATGTCCTTAGCAAATGCCAGGTGTCGGTTGTATGTGACTGAAAGGATTAGCAAGGAGAATGGAGACTCTAACACCTTACGAGAATAGCACGCTAAGGCAGGATGGGAGTCATGGGAGTCTTTTTCCTTTTACCTTTGGTGAAGTTTGAGAAATCCTTTTATTCCTCAGTTAACTTCTCCTGTTTCCAAGCATCTCCATGCCTATCCTGTCCCGCTATGCTCTCAGTTTACCTGGACTATCCAGGACTTCTCTGTGGCTATGAAGGAGGAAGAAATCAGGGGACTAAGTTCTAAGATCATGTCTGATCTTTCATAGTGCTGGTCACTCCAGCCAGAAATAAAAAAAAAAATGCGTGTGTGTGTATGTGTATATATATATATATATATAAATAAATACATATCAAATATGAATATATATAAATAAATAAATAAAATATGAGTTGGGGAGACTAAGTTCTAAGACCATGTCTTTCTCTACTTACTGATCCTTTGTAGTGCTGGCTACCCCAACAACAATAGAAAATTTATTAATTTATTAAAATTAATTATATAATATGCAAAACATGTAAATATTGCCATAGACCATGCACACTCGCCGAGAGACGCAAAGAGAAAGAGACTGGGAGAGGGAAAGTAAGAAATCACTCCCCCTGAGGGACAGCCATGCTGTAATCCCTTCTCATCCATTCTTCTCCAGGGATTTTGGGCACACATGCACATGGTCCTGGCATGATTTTGAAGCTGCCAAGTCCAGGACTTGAACCACGATTGGCCATGTAGGAGTTTAGTGCCTTAACTGCCATGCCACCTGCTGGCCTTACTCTAGCAATATTCTTAGCAACCCTCTCAACACCTTACTCAGCCCCCCAGCCCCTCCATTCCCAGCAGCCAGTGCTGCTGTGTTGCACTAGCATTCCTGAGGACTTCCAGAGGGAAAGGCAGGGGCCACCTCTTCTAGTAGTAGCTAGTTAAGAGTCACTGGTGCTGGTGCTGTGGGCAGTGGTGGAGAGCTGCCCTGAGATTGTGTCGTTTATGGCTATAACCTTTTTTCTTTTCCACCATGGAGTGTAGGTGCTTCAGAGAGACAGAGATAAGCACCTTCCATAGGACTTGGTCTTGCTGCCATCCTCTTTGAGTCCTCCTGCCTGCCAGAATCCTGGGGATGTGTCAGGCGCCTGGCATGTTCACAGGCCATCTGGGCTGAGCTTCCTCAGCCTGGCACGCTACCTGCTGCATCACAGAGGCTGGGCCTGATGTGATCTTTTGAAAGTGAAGCATTCGATATTTGTGTTTCCCTTCTTTGGCTTGTTAATGAAGTGTTATACATTCTGTTCCCCAGCAATAGTTCTACATGACTCTCCTAAAGATATCCTCACAAACCCTAATTCTACCAGTGATGGGGTATTTAGAAGGCAAGAAGAGTCCAGCTGGAGTTGGCACCAGGCTGCGATCATTTTTACAACATGAATATCGCTGATTGCAATGCTGTGCACCCGATAGCTCATGAGAAACAAGCGTGGCCACTTTGCTGGGTTAGGTTATCTGATGTCCCTTCAGTTAGAGACCTCGTAAGGTACTCTCAGAGAAAACCGTGTCTCTGGAACATTTTCATGGTATAGCTGAGTAAGAGACAGGATTCCCCAGCCAAAAATGGCTTAGTTTCTATCACTTGACTCTTTGAATGCCTTTGTTACTCTTCTAGTGGCCATTGACATGGATGTCCTTATTTGCCATCGTCACTTACAGCAAACGAGGTTCAGTCTTGAAGGTAACCTTGGTTCCTCTTTGACTATTGTAAGTTTTTCTTTTTTGTGTCCTTCCTAGGATTTTTGTTTTGTTTTGTTCTTTGCTTCTTTCTTCTATTTCCTAAGGGGATTTCCCATCATTTGCTGTATTATTCTAGATATCAAAGCACACTGGTTGGGACTATAGGATCTAGAGTCAGAGGTCTGAGTTTAGATTCCTACTCTGCTACTTACCATTGTAGAATTCTGAGTCGGCTAAGTTCGTTGTCTCTGATCGCAGAGAATGAGAAATTTGAACAAAGGACGGGGTAGTAAAGCGGAGTTTTATTGAAAGGAAAGCTACGAAATGAGAGGGCTCCTGAAAGAGGGCTGCTAACTCGGGACTGTTGTCAGGGGTTTTCATCTAGCCTTCTGAGCAGGGATCTGGCTCTCTGATAAAGTGGGTTCTGGGGCTGGCAGGTAGTGTGGTGGTTAAGGCACTGACCTCCCATATGGTCAACTGTGGTTCAAGTCCTGGTTCTAGTAGCTTGCTTTCTCATTGCCCCTCACCTCCTTCATCTTTGTCTCTTTCTCTGTCTCTTTCTGATCAAATTAAAATAATAATAATTATAATAATAATAATAATTTAAAAAATTAACTTGAACAGATAATTCTAAAAAAGAAAAAAAGTGGGCTTCAGAAAAAATAACCCTAAAATTGTCAACAAATTCAGGGCACTGGTTTCCTTAAGTGATAATTGAGGTGATCTATTTACTAAAGTTCTCTGTGGGGCTAACTGACATTGGGGATCTACATTTCTTGTGCGGTGCCTTCGTGCCACAAAAAGCATAATCTTGGTTCTGGAATATAGGTTGTGTTGCAGATCGTGACGCAGTTAACCATTGCTGCAAACTCTGTCCTGTGTACAAGCAGTTTCTAGTGAAAGCTTGGCCATCGTGACTCCATCTTGGGCTTATGTACCTATTTCTTGGCATTGTAGCTCCAGCTGTGTGTCTTGTCTCATTACCAGCTGTGTAACATTGGTCAGATGACCTAATCTCTCTGTTGACCTTGGTTTCCTTATTTGTAAAGGGGGGTTGCAGTAGAACTACCTCTAGAAGTATTGCAAGGCTAACATGAAATGACTTATGAGATGCTCATGCTCATAGAAGAGTGACACTCAATGAATGTTCACCTTTATTATTAATTTGCATATTACTAATATCAAAAATAATTTTATTACTTTAATTATTACCTCAGTGTAATAGACAGATATTTCTCTGTAGTTATGCTCTCTCTCCCACAATTTAGCCCACACTTCAACTGCCTCTGGGTCATTTTTTCTATGATTTTCACTCTCACCTCAAATGTATTATGGCCAAAGCTAGATTTCTTATCTCTTACCAAAGTTTTGTTTTCTCCACATTTCTGTTAATGATATTATACTTTTCATAATTAAGGGTTAATCTTAGACTCTTTTCTTAGCCTAAGAAGATAGTCATAATGTGTTCAGATTGAGTACAAACCTATTTATTGTTCATAATTTAAACAATTGAGAATAAGAAATTGATTAAATAAACTATTTCACATTTATATCATGAATTGCCTATTGCTATTAAAATTACATAGAAAAATACTCAGTAAGATGAAAAGAAATATTGCTAGCAAGCTGAGTTATAGTGGACACTATGTACACTATGATTCCATTTTGAGTTTTAGAAGTATATGGGTGCTTAAACTAATTAGAAAGATAGCCACTGAAAAATTTTTGTTGTGACTTTTCTGGCTTATAGGATTATGAGTAATGTTCACATTTTTTTCTCTTACAGATTTTCTAAAATCATTCAAATATTGCTTCTATGTAAGGAAAAAGCCCCTCAGCATTAGAAAAAAATGGGGTAGGCGGTGACTAAGAGTCTTGCAAATACTGCATTTCCCCCCATCTTTTAACAGAGGCCAAGAATAGTGATAGATACACAGTAGGCACTCAATAAATATTGGATGTTGAATGAAGTAGTGTCTTTCTATATACATTTTTACAATAAAAATGTTTAAAGTTAAGGGTGCTTAATGCCTGGAGCATTCAGTTTGTTAAGAGTTCATTGAAAATTAACCCATCTCCTTGGAAGAAGGTTTCTCAACAGACACAAAGTAAATCAGACTGGGTGTGGCAGCTGTTTCTAATATAACATGTCATTTCAGAGAATAATGTGGCCAGGACGGGACTGCTCGGAACCGATTCTACAGAAAGAACTTTTACCTCCGTAAAATGCACTCATCAAGATGAGCCAAATGACTACCATCTCAGAAATAAAACCATCTTTCTTTGCACTTCATCACAATGTTCAGAAGAAGAACAGGTAATACCCCAGCATATTTGTACAATAGAAACAGAGAGAAATGTATTCTTTTTTAAAATTTTTTTATAGACCACAGATTAGTTTATTTTTAACACCCATCATGCCATGAATTCATAGGGAATAGGTTCCAGTAGCTCAGGCTGCTTTCCACTGGTTCTCACAAAGTGTGCTTCTCTGGGTGGAGCAGCTGGCGCTTCAGTTGAACCCAGGTACCTTTTTCTTTGGCTTCTTTCTTTTTCTGGTCATTTTCCTTTGCACGTTTTAGGAAGCTATCTCTGCTCTTAGAATGTTTAATATGCTCAATACGCACATTGATTCTCTTGGCAAGAATCTTGCCCTTGACTTGTTTGTTCATAACAATGCCAACAGCATGCTGGGTAACATTGTAGACTCTTCCAGTTTTGCCATGGTAACATTTATGGGGCATTCTTTTTTAAACAGTACCCATTCCCTTAATGTCTACAATATCACCTTTCTTGTAGATTCTCATGTATGTTGCTAAAGGAACAACTCCACTATCGAACATATATCAGGTGCCTCTCCGCTTTCCCTTTGTGTTCGTCATTTTGGTTAATTACTGGAAGATGGCGGTTCCGGCCAAAATGAAAGCAGAAAAAAGTATTCTTAATGAATTAAACAAACAATAAGGCCAAGGGAAACATTGGACAGTTATTGGCCTAAGTTCTAATTCTAAAAGGTGTGCCATTGGGCACTTTATTGAAATGATCATTACTATTTCACAATTTGTATAGTCAGAGTTTGATGGTAACTTGGTTATCCTCAATTTTTGTCAATAGCCTCTTAATATTTGTTAGTAATCTATCATCTTTAAATTCTCTGTATCTTTTTGCTTATCCTATTTGTTTGAAACCATTTGAGTTTCATGTCTCCTTGTGATACTATGAACAGAATTCTCCAAAAAAAATTTCATATAAGGGAACAAAAAATCTCTGTGTTAAAAGTGTATTTGTGTGGGACCAGCAGTTAACATAATGGCTATGTTGCTGAACTCCCACGTAGTTGACCACGGTTCAAGTCTTGGACCCAGTGGCTTTAACTCACACTGGGCGTGTGTGCATGTGTACCCAAGATCCTGAGAGGAGAATGGAGGAGAAGGGATTGCGGCATGGCCATCCTCCCTGGGGGGGTCATTTCTCACTTTCTCTCTCTCTTTGTTTTTCTGGCGAGTGCACGTGCCCTATAGCAAAAACCTCTCCAAAAAAAAAAGAAAGTATTCGTGTACAGCAGAGGCCTATAACTATTTCCAGAACTTGCTTCTAGGGAAATGATTGTGGGATGTGAACTTATGTTTTTGCCTATAAGATTCATTCTTTTTGGCATTTATTGGCCATCAGCACACTTTAAACTGTATAGTGGATCTTCGACCAGCATGTGAGAGGCAAATAATCATTTTCTAATAACCTGAAAGTATTGTATCATCATTTTCTGATCTGTTCATCAAAGGTTCGCTGAGATGAGGTTAGGGGTGGGGGGGTGTCCCTGTCTCCACGGGAGGACCTCAGGGCTCAGTAATCTACTCTCGGTTACCCTGTGACGAACCTAGAGGACAAAAGTCAGCTCTCCTGAAACCTAGCCCCCTTCGCTGCTGTGGCAGAGCTAATGAGCATGGATCGGGAGGGGCGTTGCCATCTGAAGGATGGTAAGATCAGCTCTGTTACTTCTGGTTGTTTTCTTTTCCCATCAGTGTGTCCTCTCTGTATTTTCAGATAGTGATTGGTGAAGGCCAGAAAGTTGGCAGTTTCTTTCAAGGTGATCTGAATCGGGCAGGAAAGGTGAAGGTAAGGCATAATTCAGTTTTCCCCCATAGCAAAAACAAAACAAAACACAGAAAACAAACAAATGAAAAACACAGGGCTCAGTTGTTGTCTCTTATCCAAAGCTGATGGATTCGGCAGATTTTGTCCTTACAAGTTTGTTTTTAATTGGCGTTTGGCTCTCTTAAACTGTCCTTGCTTGGCTGGGTTATAGGTCTTTTTTTTCCTTAAAGCTTAACAAATGGAAAGTGTGCTTTGGTAGAGCAACGTGACTGCAGTCCCCCTCAGCATGTACCATCGGGGAAATGGCAATATACCAGAGTCCCGAATGTTAGCATTGAAACAGTCAGATGGAGGATAAATCTGCTGTTCTTGGGGCCAAGTAATACGGACAGTTACTTACTTGTGAGCAATGCAAGCTACCATAGCAACTTCCTGTGTCATAGCCATGGTCTGGCAAGTAGAGCTGGAGGAAGAAAGACCCAGCCTGTCTTGTGAATTCCAATTATGGAATTTAAATTTGTAATTTTAAGGTATCTTGTTATGCAATGTTAGGTCAGGAGCATAAAAGGCATTGCAACTCTTTGCCTCACTCTGGTAGGCCTCATGCCTGCAAGTAGTGAAGTCATTTTCTTGTTTACACACTTTGATATTCACCCAGATGTATTAGTTCTTGTCTGAAATGTTACTGTTTTGTTACTGTAAAATGTCTCATTGTCAGCTTGTAGGAGAAAGCCGTGGTCCACCCGGGACAGTTTTCATTGAAATGATGCTGTTGTGTCTGTAGAGGTCATTGGCTCTGCTTTTTACCTTTGAAGTAATTTTCGGTTTCATTTGCTCCAGAGAGAGAACATTTGATTTTTGCCCTGCTCAACTTTTTAGTGATTTACCTGGGCACGATGATTTTCCTTTGCATGAATCTTTCTCCCTGCTTACTTTGTAGTTTTTAAAAAGAATTATTTTTAATTTAATTTAATTAATTTATTAATTATTTTATTTTGACCAGAGACACACAGAGAGAGTGAGAGAGAAAGAGAGGGAAAGTGAGAAAGCAGCCACCAGGTCCGGGACTTGAGCTGCGGTTGGCCATGTGGGAGTGTCCAGTGTCTTAACCACCATGCCACCTGCTGGTCCCACCTTCCTGTTTTCTTCAGTTTCTTCTCTTTGGTTCTTCAGTGTGCTCTAAGAAAGCATGTTGTTATGGTCATAGCCAGACCCAAGACCACCATCTACATGAGAAGCCAAAGCAATTAAACAAAGCAGAACAAAGCAAACCAAACCAAAGCCCTGTTCCAGACCTCATGTTGGTAGTATATATTCTGGGGCATGGTTTGGAACAAAATCCTTTTTTAAAAATCTCCAGCCTCGAGCCAATGGGTGACATGGTTAAGAAGCTGGACTCCCACATAGTTGGCTGCAGTTTGATTCCCAGACATTGGCAGCTTGAAAATCACACTGGGTGTGTGTGTGCGTGTGTATGCATTCCAAAGTCCCAGGAGGAGAATGGAGGAGAGGAGATTGCAGTGTGCCCTCCCCCCAGGAGGTGATTTCTCACAATCCCTCTCTCTCCCTCTGGTGACTGCATGTGCCTTATGGAAAAAACCTTAAAAAAAAAAAAAAAAGATCCCTAGGCCATAGGCCAGCCAGTGGCATAGTGGTTAAGGCAGCTGGATCCTGCATGGCTAACTGCATGGTTTGAGTCCCAGACCCAGTGGCTTGAAGAACAGGCGTGCACACCTAAGATCCCAAGAGGTAGGAGAGATGGAAAAGAAGGGAGAGTGGCTCATGCGTTTCCACTGGTATTTTCTCACTCTCTTTCACACTCTCTGTCTCTCTCAGCTAGTGGATATGCCCTCTGGCAAATGAAAGAGGAAAACAATACAAAACAAAAAACTCTGTTGTCCCTTTTGGTGGTGTCAAGTTCTGACTGTGGTGCCTACAAAATCCAGGCCAGTCCCAATGTCCTCCTCCTTCCCAGTGTCTCTGGGAAAGCAGAGACACCAAGGCCTTGCCTGGGCACTCAGGAGCTACCGAGGAAAGTGGACTCGGCTATGTAGAGACTGCTCTGGAAGTGCGGGCCTTGCCTCCTCACTGTCGTTTCTCTTTAAGTCTGGTATGCATAGACATGGTGTTAATCCTTTCCTAGGTAGACAATTTCCTAGCCTTAGAAGATTTGGACATGGACTCGGATGAAGAGACGAAGCCCCAAATGAGCAAGGGTATGTTATTCCATTTCTATTACTGCTTGACATCTTTCCAGGAGCGACAGATAAAGATTTTAGACAGCTTCTACCTTCCCTTCTTACAGCAATCCATACGGCCACCTCTCCTGAGAGGGGAAAAACTAAAGTTGTGAGATTTCTTTTTCAGTGACAAAGATTTCAGCTAAAAGGTCAAAGCCTCTGAGAGATTGTAGAGCTTCTGATCTTAGATGAAGTAAAAGCACCCACCTACTGCAATTTACCACATGGTCGACTCTTAGAGACTGTCTCCACGTCATTGTAAAACCCACCCCTTGTTTCCCCTTATAAATTGAGATTACTTTCAAGGAGCACATAAAATATCAGTGGATCAAAAAAATGCCAGAATTGATCAAAGAAGATCCGAATGTCTGCTTTTAAAATATTTCTAAATAGATAAATCAAACACTGACACTAAAGATACACTGAATTCTCCTGAGGTACTTTTCACCATGGGCTGCAGTGGGGGCATCCGCTGAGGTTTACCTGGGGGCACCCTCTCCTTCCTTGGGTAACAGTCCTGTGTCAGCAGAGATACCCTTTATTGTGCAAAGGGCCTCTGAAAAATGTTAGACGTTAGGGTTATTGGATTTGGTAAGCAAGAATTTCTCAAAGTGTGAAATTTTAGGGAGGAGATGTTTGTGGCAGCTCGGTAGCTGGTGTTTAAGCACTGTTGTCAGTCTAGGCGGTCACAGATGTGAGCTGTAGTCATCGTTGTTGGGGAGGTGTTTAAGCACTGTTGTCGGTCTAGGCGGTCACAGACGTGAGCTGTAGTCGTTGTTGTTGGGGAGGTGTTTAAGCACTATCTGGTTGTTATTGGGGAGGGTGGCTGTCTTAGAGCCAGGTGGGAGTTAGTGACTGTGAGCAGTTGACCTTGGTCTTAGGCCCTGTTTGTCTATTTCTTTTCTTTGCACAGGAGGTTGGCTGTGTGAGTACCAGACAGGAGTTAAAGACTGGGTGTTATTGGTGCAGGTCATGGAAGCTCTTCCGGCTTCTCTGGCTGCTGGAATTTTAGTGGCTTTATTAACTGCAAACAATTAACATTTTTATTCTGCTTCCAAACATTCCACGACTGCATTGAAAGGATTGCTTCTGAAGCACTCATTCTTCAGTAGACTGCAGTCGTAGTCCCTTACTTGGTTCACGTGAAGTCAGAGATCTCCAGAGAGGTCTCCTGTGCCCTAGGTGACTCTACGTTTCTGTAATAGCAGTTCAGGAGCTCCGGTGGGATTAGACGGGAGCGCTGAAGACTTATCAGGAAGCTGTGTTTCTAGAGCAAGCACAGTGTTTTGGGTTTGGGTGACTGGGGAGGGGGAACATGTTAAAATTGTAGATTTCCGTGTCCTTGTCCCATGATAGCCTAATTCAGATCTTCAGTGGCATTTAGTGAACTGCAGTTTTAGCCAATGCCCCAGATGACTTTGGTCTAGTTAGTTTGAGGATGACACTTGGAGACAAGCAGGTCTAGTCTGCATGTAGTATGTTTGCAGTATAGGGTACTTTGTATAGGAGGACATACAAGTACATGTGTTGGGCATTTCGTGACAGTTTGAATTTCTCACCTGCAGCCAGTCGTAGCTGGAATGTAAGTTACCAAGGCAACATTTTCTCATCGCTCTCTTGACATTTTTTTTCCTTTTTAGTGAGAGTACGAGGATGGGGGAATAGTTACTCTTGTCAGGGTCTCATCATGTTATAATCCTCCTGCCTCGGTCTCCAGTGAGCTGCTACCACACATGCATGCCGTTATCTGCTCTGCCTGTTCAGATGGGACCAGAAACCAAACCAGGGCTTCCCATGTGGCTTCAGCACTGCACAGCAGTGTCCTGGTGCTTACACCACTATAGCTGGGACAACACGTGTTTTCGATTAAAAATTCAATTTATATTTGTATCTTTATTTTAAAAAATTGAATACAAATGTCTCACTAGTTTGATTTTTTAAAAAAAGCATATCATAGTCTTGCATCTGTGTATAAAGGTTACTGAGGCTGGATCTAGGCTCAGTGGAGCTGGGTGAACTAGCCCCGGCTTGCCCACATGCAAAGGCAGGTGCTAAGCCCAGACTGAAAACTGACCCAGACTTCAGCCATCTATTCTAATTTACTTTTTTTTCTTTTCTTTCTTTCTTTTTTTTGGAGAGGTTTTTGCTATAGGGCGTGTGCACTCTCCAGAAAGACAGAGAGAGACAGAAAGCAAGAAAGCCCCCCCCAGAGGGGTGGCCACACCACAACCCCTTCTCCTCTATTCTCCTCTTGGGATCTTGGGCACACATGCACACATGCCTGGTGTGAGTTTAAGCCACCGGGTCCGGGACTTGAACTGCAGTTGACTACATGGGAGTCCATGCTAACTGCTGGTCCCCCATCTATTCTAATTACTGAAACGACCACCAGGGCTTCCCAAATTTCATAATGCACAATCTGGGTCACCTGAAAGGAAAAAGAAATTAAATAATTTGTGCCAAGGTGAATTTTAGTTTGGGCCTAATTTGTATTACACTTTAGGAATGTGAGCAGAAGGCAAATATTTATATCAGATGGGAAATGTGACATTTTAAATAGTCGAGTTGCTTGTATAATTTTGGCAGCTAGGAAGTTTACTGATTAGATTCTGTTATTATTGTTTAAGCAACAGATTTGCCTGGGGCAACACAGAAGTGGGTTGCATGTTGTTTTCCACCATCGACTTTATTTGTTCATCTCATTCCCTCTCATAAATGTTCTCCAAGATTCAGGTGCGTGATTCTTTCTCCATGTGTGGTTTACCACTCTGGCAGGCCAAGTAGAGACAGCAGATATTCAACAGGACTCAGGTGTCTGGGGACCATACTTGCCACAAGGTTTGGTGCTCTGTGGTTATTTGACATCAAGCTCATCACTTTTTTCCTCTTTGGGATCTGAGATAAGTTTGTTTACCTAGTGGCTGTCATGTTTCAGGTAAGCTGGCTCAAACTGTAACCCAGAAAAGTTATTTTTTGGAATAGCTATTAGCTATTACGCTGCAGTCATAGACTAGGAAGAATCTTCCGGTCATCTTTATTTACTTAGTCATTTTTTTGTTTGCTTTCTCCATTGGCCCAGCATATTTTCTGGCTGAGTGCAACTGGCTAAAGAGTCCATTGTTTTGGGGTCCTCGTTCTCAGAATTGAACTGTCTTCTGTGAGCCTCTTGGTCTGTGGCTGTCCTTCTGCCATAGTTTATTATGTTGGAGAACAGGCACTGAAGCCTCCTCAAAGATTGGCAGGATGAGGGTATTCCTAGTCATTTTCAGTCAGTTACTGGGTAAGTACATCCAAATGAGGGCACAGTTACTTTTTTTTGTTTCCAATTTTTCCTTCTATGCAACTTTTTTCCTTTTTTCTTTTCTTTAAAATTGTTTTCATAGGGCATGTGCACTTGTTGGAGAGAAAGAGTCCGAAAGAGAGAGAGAAAGTGAGAAACCATCATCGGGGGAGATGGCCATACCACAGCCCCCTTTCCTCTCTTCTCTCAGGATTTTGGGCATGCACACACACATGCCCAGCATGATTTTTAAGCTGCAGGGACTGGGACTTGAACCATGGAGTCGACCATGTGGAATCCAGCTGTCTTAACCTCCACACCACCTGCTGGCGCCCTTATGTACTACTTTAAGCAGCTTCAGGCAGCCTGTGAATGATCAGGGACTCTTATTCAACAGACATTTAACAACTGTGGCTAGTGCCTGGAATATAACGAAGAACGAAATAGACCAAGTTCCTGTCTTCATACGGCTGATAATTAATCAGAAGAATCAGACATTAATTGTAACACACGAATAGATACTGATAAATTTTCTAGACATCATGAGAGTATATGGCAGGGGGGCTTAAGCTTTTCTGCGAGATAAGAGAAAGATCTTGAGGTGTAAAGGATGAGTAGCCATTAACTCAGTGAGGGTGGTGGGTGGGAGCAGGGCAGATGGAGCGCAGGAGCAGCATGTGGAACAGCGCGCGTCGAGTGCTGAGGGAGGAGAAGATGGCATGTCTCAGCCAGCTTACCATGCAGGCAGTTCAGTCACTTTTTTATTGCTTCACTGCTCACGAAAAACATTGAGAATGAAAACAAATCTTGGCTTCAAAATGTCCTTGTAATCCACCTCCTCTGATTTTTATGTGTACAAGTTTACCCATTTATTTTTTAAAGAATTATTTATGGGAACCAGCAGTTAGCACAATGGCTATGTCGCTGGACTCCCACGTAGTCGACCGCAGTTCGTGTCCCGGACCCGGTGGCTTAAAACTCACGCCGGGCGCGTGTGTGTGCATGCCCAGGATCCCGAGAGGAGAATGGAGGAGAAGGGATTGCGGCGTGACCATCCCCCTGGGGGGTGATTTCTCGCTTTCTGTCTCTCTGTCTCTCTCTGTCTGTCTGGCGAGCGCACGCGCCATAGAGCAAAAGGAAAAATGAGAAAATAAGCTGCTGGGTCCAAGACTTGAATTGCTGTCATCCGTGTGGCAGTCCACTGCCCCAGCCACCGTGCCACCTGCTGGCCCCAGCTTATCCATTTGTTGAAGTCCAGCATGAAAACTGTGTTAACCACAGGTATAAACCTGCTGCCCAGTGCTCATGATTGTCCAAGGAAACTTCCATTCCATTCTTCAGAAGAGAACCAAATTAGGAAGATAATTCTGCCTTTTTACAATCTCTCCACTCTTTCTCCTCAAGTGAAAAGGAAGCCTTCCTCTACGGGGAGAGAACGGGGAAATAAACTAGCAGTAAATGTGTACGGATTGGCCCCTTTGTTTCTTCTTTTTTTTTAAATATTATTTATTTAATTTTATTTATTCATTCATTTATTTTAATTTGACCAGAGAGACACACACACACACACACACACACACAGAGAGAAAGAGAGAGAGAGAGAGAAAGGGAGAAAGGAAGCCGCCAGGTCCGGGACTCGAACCGTGGTTGGTCATGTGGGAGTGTCCAGCACCTTAGCCACAATGCCACCTGCTGG